TAAAGGATATTTATATGACGTTTTAAACGGGATATTTTACATAATTAAAATAATATATATATCAGCTACTTAGCTTTAAATATATTCAACAGGGGATTGATGATCATTCCAATCTCTTTTTTCGAATTTTCCCTTTGAGATTTCCCTTTGATTTTTCGATTTTATTTTTAAATAATTGATTTTTTTTAAAAGATAAGAATCTAAAGTGCAATTTTTAAAGGAGCTTTTTTTTTAAAAGAATAACTTTTTATGTATATAAGAAAGAAAAGAAAAGGGTCTGTTGCTTAGTTTAATTAAAATCGATTCAGACTTTAAAAGTTGAAAATGCTGAGAAATTATTACTTTCTTCTTCTTCTTCCTCTTGTCTTCTAGTGTAAGAAAGATGCAAATTTTTGCGGAGTTTCATTTATTTTATTTTAATTTTTGTGATTAAATGAGAAAAAAAAATAAAGTGAAATTTAATGCAAATGATTTTTTTCCGTGTTTTTGTGAGTTAGACACTAGTTTTTGGCTTTTTAATCCCTTTTTGAAGGTTTTTTTTTCTTTTTTCGTATATTTGGGGAAATAATTCTTAATTAAGGGAAATTGAGAAAAAAATCCTTAAAATGGGTGTATTTTCGTAAATCTATAGGGAAATTTTTTATCTCGGACGTGGAGATTTAGAGAGAAAATAAAAAGCTCATAATACTTTATTGTGCGCTGTAAATTGTACAGAGGAAACAATAAATTCTTCAGCAAGAATTGTGAAATTTTTTGATAAACGATACCCGCATTTTTAAAAGAAATTTGATACAATTCTTTATATTTTAAGATTTAAACACTAAATTTCTTTACTTTTGATCCCTTCTTCAAGGTTATTTTTTTTATTTTTTTTATTTTCGTATTTTTATTTAGAGTAAATAATCCCTAAATAGGAATAAGTAGGGGAAAAACTTTATACGAAGAAGAAAAGTCTTTAGAATAGATGAATTTTCGTAAATCTTCAGGAAAATTTTCCTTTACAACGTGGAGATTTTAATTAAAGTTTTATCGAGGAAACAATAAAGTAAGCTCAAAATACTTTGTTACGCGTTGTAAATTGTACGGAGAAAATGAGTTTAAAATGATTCTTTTTAACATTTTTATCTGTCAGCAATTTGAATTTAAACACTAAAAGATGGACAATAGCTTTACGATGAATGGCCAAGAAGTAATAATAACTGCCTTATTACTTCTGGACCACTCTTACATATGTTAAACTGTATGATAATAAGAGCCAAAAGTGCCCACAGGATTTGTCTACGAGGAGTTAAAACATATTCGATTTAGGTCAATTATCCAACCAATTGGTTGACTAAAATCGTGTTTTTTAAATAGGTTTAAACGGGTTTTAAACATTACAAAACGTGCTGTCTTCCAAATAATAGCGCTTGCACAGGGCTGAAAAAAGAAGGAAATGTGAAATTGTTAATTGTTATGTTACCTACTGTACGTCTAGGTAATCCTGTATTTCAATTTTTTCGAATTGTAAGCATGAAGTGTTTACATTATAGCAATATTAGAAACAATAATAAACAATGGGATTGTTTAAATTTAGTAAATGAATGCTTAATTTGCATAAAATTTAAAAGCTGTTAAGAATTACATACGGTTACAGTACATAATGCAATTCATATTCTTCAAGTATGCACTTCTTCATACATTTACATTATGTTTTAGTTCATTATACTCCTACGGAAATCTATACACATATCTATAATATCCATTCGACAGATGAAGCAGATCTCCTTAATTGACTTCTGGAAAATAGACGTAAAGTGAGCCGTTATATCAGCGTGGAAGTGCCGAAACGTTTAACAGGTTGCAATCCAGACAGATGTGTATAAATGGTAAACTATGGTAAATTCACGCTGACTGCAAGTCTCAATCACCAAAATATCTTCATAATTTGTTCTCTATTATCAGCGCCATGTAACCTGTAAAAGAAGAAACAATTATCAATATAATTGCTAAAGATATAGACTTATAGGACACCCTGTATATACCACATAGAAAGAGCCTTAACTAATGAATTTTACATAATTATAATAAAATATTTATATCAGTCCTAATGTGGGTCACTGTATACTTTTAATGATAACTAATTTCCTCTTCATCAAGTTTTCATGAAATTTTAAGTATTCCGAACTTCCGAACTACAGAAATTAATATATTAATAAATGCAAATAAAATTAATTGAATAATTATGTAATCATTTTATACATATTATTAATTGAGTATATTTTGTAACAGATAATTTAGTCAAATAATAAATTTATAAATTTAGTGATTTCGTTCCGATAATTCTTATGCCTAGATAATTATGACGATTTAAATTATAATATTTTAATTAATATACTTTTAAATTAATCCGATCATGTGATTTTGTGTGGGGCCAGATAGAGTGGAACTAGCAGCACTCGAACCCTGACACAGAAGCCCCGAAATCTATTCTTCTATGTTATAAAAAAAGCTGATAGGAAAATGATCTATAATTAAAATTTCTTTTGATAAATTATTTTTAAAAATCTTTGTTTTACTTATTTTATGGCTTTCTTAGAGGGGTAGGCCTCACTTTTATGATTGATCTGGGCTTCTATCAGTTCTTTCGGTCTCTATTCTTGTGGCATTGTTAACCTTACCAATTGAAAGATTCTTCACTGCTTTCTCATTCCTAACTATTTTTTATTTTATTAATATATATTTTAACTAGGTATTTATATAGTTATTTATATTTAACTAGTTATTAATATATATTTTAACTCATAATAAATAATTAAAATTCAATTGTTATACACTGATATGATAATATTTATCACGATAAAGTAAAAATGTAATTTTAATGATGTTTTTAGATATACTCAAACATTTCTATCTTTCAATCGTATCTTTTTCGAGTTAATTTAAAATGGTCACGATGTTCCTATGCATGCTAATTAGAAGTTATTTTTATACTGTCCTTAATTCGAGTCACAAGCTCTAATTATTATCTGTTCTTCTGGGCATTTTCTTCTATGCTGACAACTGAAAATCAATTCCTGATAGTTCTTCAATTGTTGTAAAGATGAATTGAGAAATTTCTCTTACACAATGCCCCAAAGCGAATTGTCAAATGTTATTAAGTCTGAACCTTGAAGAGTCCACGCTGTACATCCACATCCAATTTATAATTTCTGAATTTTTCTCCAAATTTTCATTCAGAAAGTTTCTAACAAGGTTTTCCAGGAGGAAGAAGAAGGCGTTAAATTCTATAGCAATACGAATTTGGATCCTCGTGGCTGTTACAAGAACTGTTAGAGGAAATTTCATTTGTATCCTTTGTTAAAATATTTTATTACTTAAGTTATATACCCTTACTAATTAAAATTCAATTAGCAGATAGGCTTCAAAGTTGAATGCATTTGTCTCCTATGGTAAACATTATTTCTGTATACACAATTTCAATATTATATTGTTTTTGTTAACAATACGCCGTTTATAATATTTAATCCTAGAACAAATCGCATTCTAAGAACAATGTAATAAGCCATAGGTTTTACAGTATATTTATAGTGTAGACTACAGTTTGAAATGAGCCGAATTGATTAGACTTTAGCCTGTAGTAAAATTTCGTAATTTTAGGCTTATTAATAAATAAATATAAAGTTTGACGTCAATAAATCGTGTTCATAATACTGAAAATTTACTTTAAAACGTTGTATTTAGGCCTCGAAGGCAGATAAATATTTTTACTTCTAGGCCTATCAAGATCAAATATATCAATAGTATAGGGCCTCACGTGAGGCTCTTATATGTAAAGGCTATAACAAGTTTAGGTCTGATTTTCCTCTCAAAAATAATTCTTCCATATTGTGTATTTTCGTAAAAATTCTCCACAAAAGCTACATTTTTTAGCTGGAAATATTGCATAAATATCCACTCAGAATTCTATTGTTATACATTTTTTTTTTTGAGTCACAGAATAATAAAATATATTCCATACAACTTGTCATCCCAGATACGTGACATTTGTAACTTAACGACTTATCTTTATATTCTGTAAAGTTATTTATCGCGTTTTCCTGTATACCAAAGGATTTTTTTTTTCAATAATACATATGATGCCAAGCGAGAAGATTAAATTAAAGCCAAGATTTTGATGAAATTCCTATTTATAATCGAGTGTTTATACGCCTTTGAATGGGTAACTAAGCTAAAACTAGGCCTGCTACCAGTTTTAAGTGAGGAGATTAGAGTAATTATCGTACTTTCTGTACATTTGCGTGTTTAAATATTAGAAAGGATAATTATTTCAGTTTATTCCGCTGTGGATCCGCCCTTGGTAATAAGTAGCAAACGCGGTTAGCTTGAGAAAATCAACACCAAGTCATTATAGAAAAACAATANTTTCTTTGATGTTTTTTTCATTCTGACTTTGATTTCACTTGATTTATTATTATTTTTAATATATAGAATTATACTAGAGAGTTAAAACAGTCACAATGTTTTAACTATTCCAATTTCCCTTCTCATGCTTGGCTTAGAAATAAATCTATATACTTACTATCCTTATAAATTCAGAAGCATCCATTCTCTATATGTCTAAATTTAGAAAATACAGTATTTATTTAATGTGTTTTAAATAAATGAAATAATCTTTACTGCATTAATAATTTGACATCTTGCAATTACTTATAAATAAAAAAAGAGAGATAGAGAGAAACTGAAAGAGAAGGAAAAAGTATCTGTTAATATTATGAAATAGTATATGGCATTAGTAAAATGAAGTTCATTTGTACACCATCTGGTAATATTCAGAGAATAAAAAATTTTTCCTTTGCTTTCTGCACATATAATATTACCCTGTAAATAAATATTTAAAATATTTTTTCATTAGAAAAGAATAAAATTAAATATTAAAAAGGCATTTTTAAATTAAAAAAAATACTTTAAATAATTACGAAGAGTAACGGTTTCTCGTAATTACCATTTCCGAACACTAGGGGGCTGGAATCGTCGTGGGTCGATGTTAGTGTAGACGGAATGGAACGTGGTTGACGAGCGTGCGATAGTTTCTCTCATCTTATGAATGATTAAAGCTCTTTTTCACAATAGTGAATCATTGGATTTTGTTGCCTTACCTTTAAGCATTTGTACGACAAAAAGTAACGATGTGAAGTAAATATATATTTTTTTTCGAAATAATACCGTAAAACAACGGAAAAAATTAAAATAAAATAAAAAATCTGATGCTGTTTCCACCGAAATTCTTCAATTCAAGTAAGAATATTCTCTTTTTTTTCTTTTATAGTAATTATTTTTTAAGAATTACTTAGATTTCCCGCGAAATTGGATTTAAAAGTCCAATTTCGCGGGAAATCATCACGTGACTTTCATTCGGTAAATGTGGATTTTTTTTTCTTATCGAATTTGCGCTCAATTTTATATTTTAATATCATTTTTATAGATATAAATATTCTATTAAAAATAGTTGCAACAGTTAAGAAGTGGTCCGGTTTCGATTTATCGATCGAAGAAGTCTTTTTTTATTTTTTTTTTTTTTCCTCTTATTTTTTCCCCCTATTCTCTTCAAGATCGGAAAAAACAACTGGCGATCCATTAACGAATTACTTATATCATCGATTAATGGATAGAAATTTTGATTTAAAAATGAATCGTGTATCAGTTGAAACGGGCATTTTCTTAACTGTCAATGATTTAGTTGTAAAATTAAGATATAGTAGAGTAATATCTGTCTCAATTATGTTCGCAGCGGGTCCCCTCCTTGATGAGAAAACGGGAATTACTTTTATAGAGAATGGTACGAGAGATTAATGAGTCGTTGAGCTTTAACGTGCTTTAATATATAGTTATTTTTACCTTCTTCCGAATGGGAAAACTTGGCACAGAATAATTTAAAACAAAAGATAAATTCATTTACAAATCAAACGTTGAAGAATTGCAGTTTAAAACAAGTCTCATCCTATACAATTACATGTAAGGAATCTATATATAAAAGTGATGTTTAATTATGATTTTTATCATATTTTTGCTCATTCTTATCGATCTTGTAAATCGTTTAGAAGTTAGCTTAACCTTTTATATAAGTAGATATCCACCCGTTTGATTTATATGTTTTGACTCGCTAGCAATTCCATTAAAGTAAATCTTTCACTTCTGGAAAAATTCCTTGTACGTACCTAGTGATGTGCAGTCTATTGATTGATGCTGCGATGGCTTCTCTTAAAACATCTCTTAACCGATTTTTCTTTTTTCTTTTTTCTTTTCTTTTATAAAGAATTCTGACACACGATCACGGAATTATAATATATATATCATCACTTTAGCGGATAGAAATTTAAATTTGAAAATGATCGTATATAACAATTCAGGCGGACATTTTCTTAACAGTCAATGGTTTTTTTATAATTAAGATGTAGCAAATTTGTTCGTTTCTAACAGGAAAAAACACTTTCTAATTCGTTATTAATCTTCAAATAACGTTATATAAATGTTATTAGTAATAGTATATGAGAGTTGTGAGCGATATACCACGGAGATTGCCTTGGTTTGGCCTTGTTTGAAGGGAAAAAAAATATCATCATCGTCATCATCATCATCTGGTTAAAATTCGAGACGTGCCACACGCGATCGTGTATTATAAAAATTGAGCTAATTTTACGTTTGAATAATGAGGCAAAAAATTATCCTGACATATTCAACTTTAGTATGACTCGAATAATGAATTCATATTTATATAATTAATAGGTATAATTACGTTATTTTAATTAATCATTAAACTTGCTGATATTTTTTTTTGTTCTTTTTTTTTTAGCATTTGGAGTTGATTTAATATTCTCTGCCAACATTTCCTCGTATTAATTTTAGTTGTAGTTACTAGAATTTCGTCGTATTTAATTACGAAATGATGAATTTAAGCATCGAATTTTCATCATTAATTAATTCGGAACTTTTAAATTGGAATTTGATGAAATTTCGTCGTAAAATTTAAACGATTTATTTATATATTTTGACATTTAAAAAAGTCTTTAATAGAGTAATTTTTTTTTAAAATTTAAATTCTATTTAACGTCTTTGAACTTTTCACAAAGGATATATTATTGAGAATAAAAGCGGCTACTGTGTGACCTGGTACTCAAACAAATGAGATAATTATATATTGTGTCAAAACATAACAGTAATTTAAGAATGTGTGTCAACTGATGAAAGATTAATACCGTTCTTTAATGGAGTTAGAAAAATTCTCCTATTTCTTAAGTGGAAAAAAAAGGGATCTTTGTATATAATGACATTGTTTGAAAAATTGGAAGTTTGAATGATTCTTATTCTTATTAAGAAAATTAATTTTGAAGAAAATAATAACAGATTCTGATGATAAAGTATGATTTGAGCTGAATATTTTATTAATTTTTTTATTGTAAAAATTAATATTTAAAATTAAAAAAAATATATATTTTTCTTTATTCAAAAATTTAATTTCTGTATCAATTTTTAGAAAAAAATTTACAATTTATTAAACAATTTTTTTTTATGAAAATAATTTTTATAGTTCAATAGTTTTAGGAAAAGAAATATTTAAATTTTAAATGATTTTTTTTGTATTTTTGTTAAGAGAATTATTATTTTTTTTATAATAGAATTTTTAATTATAGAAAATAAATTATTGAAATTTCTGTACTTTAAATATACAATCAGGAAAAATAAGTTTTTCTTTTTAATATATATATTTTTTTCATGGCTGAGTGGAAATGTAGAGATTATAAAATCAATTTAAATGATTTCTTTTTTATAATTTTATTTTTTTCATCTGGAGAAATGAATTTCATTTATTTCTTGATAAGATTATTTAGTAAATTATATTAAAATATTTATTTATTATCATTATATGTGTTTAAAATTTTTTTTTAAAGTAATTACTTCTTTGTATTAAACTTTCTCTTAAAAGTTTATTCATTTTAATGATTAAATTATAAAATTGTTTCCTTTGATAATTATTAGAAATATACAAAAATAAATAAATAAATAAATAAAATAATTAATTTTGTGAAGAACTTTTTAAATAAATTTTTTTTTTGTTAAATTGCAATTAATAAGATTTTTAATATATATATTTTTAATAATATTTCATTGATTTAATGGGAAAAAATTAATTAAAGAAACAGTAAAGTTTTAAACAAAATGCAAAAATTTAATGTATACTTTATGATTTAGAGGAATCTAAATGAATTTCTGTTTATCTTCTTGATTTCTAACATAAAGAGGTAAAATTTAATTAACTTATTAATAATGAAATTTATTTAATTTTAGACTTTAAAATTAAATTTATTCATTTAATATGATAAATTATGGCATTTTCCTAGTCAATTAAATATTTGTTATTAAGCTAAAATATTAAAATGTGAATAAGCCATAAATAAAAGTTATATCTACATTAATTTGCTTTAGTTGCTTGCGACTCTACATTTTAAATTTAATTTTCAGAAATTTATCAATATTTACGAATGATTAAATATTAATTTATGCTCGAGAACGAATATTGATAAGTTAATATATGAATGTTGATTAAAATATAATTTGTGATTAATGTTTGATTTGTTTGAATGTTTTACAAGTTCACTCTGATTGTAGACCTTTAAAATTAGAGAATAATAAAGAGCGAGAAATGCTATCTTTGATAACATTTAAGTAAAAAGTAACATTTAACTTTTATTAAATTAGAAGAATAATGTTGCTTTATATTATAGACCAGTTGGATGTGTATCTAGGACAAGATCAAGGGACAAATGGGGAGACAACTTTGAAAATTGTAAAGGTGAGTTAAAGTCTAATCTGTAAAGACAAGAAGAGAGAAAGAAATTTCATATTAAAAAAAAAATTCAAAAATTTACAAAAATGCACTAGCTCATTTATAGACATTATTTTATTAAAGCACAGAGTTATCATCTTTGTAGTTAAGCTTCTGTCTGAATTGCTAATGCAATCACATTTAATAATAATAAAGTAAAATTGATTTTGATCACATTCTTAATTATAATAGCTTAAAAAAAGATATATCGTGTGTTAATGTGTGTTGATCATTTTAGAACTTTTCTTGTCAAAATGCAAATGTACTTTTTAGACGATATTTAACATTCTTGTTTGTATTTATTTTGAAGGCTTCGATTGACATAACTCAATGAAAACATTAAATAAATCAAATTTCAACTCCCACATTATATTTAAATTGCAAATATAAGTGAAAGGTAAATGAGAATATACAAACAATCAAAGCAATAATTTGTACTATGAAGTTTACTGATTTTGTTTGCTTTTATCAAATGAACAAATCCTTTGGAGATACAAAACAAGTATCTAGAGTAGATGCTACAAATTCTTTCATAGCAATAATAAAATTTAAAATGTAAATAATAAATGAATAAAATGCATTAGTGGATGGAGTTGTAAGGCAAATAAATGTAATCTATTTACTTATGTATGTCTGGGAATTTGTTCAAAAATATCTTTGGATATTTCAATGAAAATTTTATGATTCACCCTCCTTAACAATGTATATTGTATAATTTTCTTTGAATAAACATTATACTGTACATAAAATAGCTTCCTATTTTATATTTACATNAAAATTAATTTGTATACAGTATATAAATTTATAATTACATATTTTTTATTTATTTGATTATAATTATAATTAATTAATTGTGATTAGATATTTAAAGTTAAAAATAATATTACTATTAATTTTATTTTTATATTCAATTTATTTTTAGTTTAATAGTCAGTTGTTTAAAAGAAATACTGTATAAGGAAGAAAAAGTTACTAAATATATAAAATCTGTTATAGTAGCAAACTTAAGTAAAATCTTTCTAGGTTTATCTATTTATATATATATAAATATAAATATTCGCTTGACTTATGCTATTAAATATTTTATATTTAGTGACATAAGTCAAGCGAAATATCAATTTTTATTGATTAATTTTATAAACATTTTAAAATACAACTGAGGATACTGCTATCTTGATTTAAAGCCATAAACCTACAACTATAAATGTAAAGTATAGATTTTATAGCATTTGACCACAGAACAAAGATTTTAGATTTGGTTTTTTTGTTGTTAAAGTAATCTTTTTACTACTGCTATAAGTTAGTTGTTTCTAAATATAGTTTTATTGTAACAGTTCAAGGAATTTTATGATCTACTTTTCAATAGATAATTTTTATAACAGTTTTGAAATAGTAAAAAAGTGTTAAATGTATATACTGTATACTGTATATATTTTTAAGAATTAAATATGCTTCTTGGAAATCTGAGCAAAAGTAATTACTTAAATGGTAACAGAATGGAGGAGTCAAACAATGTTTTGTTGAAAAAAGCTGTTTGATATTAAATTAAGTAATAATATGAACTACTCAGAAGATAAAAATTATTTATTTATAATATTTTCAGAGATTTTTCTTTATTATGAGTAGAGTTTGCATCTTAAATGACGTGAATGTTACTGTGACAGAAAAAAATCCGAAAATGTTGTGAATAATTTTTACATTTCATGTCCGTAATATTTATTATTAGTTAATCTTAATTAAGTAATGTAATTGATTGAAGAAAGTTTCTAACAATGTTAAACTGTTGTAAAAATCTATATGAAATTATTAGTTTAAAAATAGTTTTGTATTTTGTTTTAATTGGTAATTTTGTTATTGAGTTTTAATTGTATTTATTTAATAGAATTTAAATGTAGATGTATATTTAATTATAAATAGATTAGGAAATGTAGTTTTTAATCTTTATAATTACAGTAGGAGATTCAATTTCTAAAATTAGATAAATCAAGATGAATTTTTCATCTATTCATTTTCTCCAGACAAATGTATAGGATCTATTATTAGTAGATTAAACACAGAAATAATGTATTTAACCATTACTTCTACATTAAAAATTCATTTTAATATTTTTGATATCCTAAGACCTTAAATTCTATTGACATAATTATGGAGTTTATTAAATAGTAAAAATTGGAAGTATTATTTCTGTTTTTGTCATGGTTAATATTAGATTTTACAATGAATTGTTTGACTTATAGTAGAATATTAAATATAAATATTAGTTAATATTAGTAAATAAATTTAATTTATTATCAACATATGAAATTTATAGCAAATTTGAATTTTAAAAATTTAAGAAATTATTCTAAAATTTGTATTTAATTTTATTCTTATAATTAATTAATAATCTAATTCTTCAATTTTTTATGAATAATTGTTTTAATTAAAAATTTTATTGTACATTACATTGATTTTTCTTTCTTTAAAACAATTTTTAATTAATATTTCAAAATATTTATAGATATTTTTTTCTATGGAAACATGTCAGACCAGGAACAACTTGCTATATCTCATGCATTTCCACCAATAACTGCTGGAAGTAGTGCAGTCAGTGCTAATACTGCTCTAACGTCTACCACATTGACTCCACCTTATGCTCCATATCCAAAGCAACCTAAAGGTACAACTCTTGAACGAAATAATGTACCTGTACCTGAATTACCTTTAACAGCTTCTGATGAATGTAATATTCATGAAGTTTGTTATTACTTTCAACAAATATTATTCATAGCAGCAATTCTAACAGGTACTGCTTTAGTTGTAGCAGGAGCTATAATGCATATACAAAGTGGGGAATGGTTAGTGTTTGTATATATAGGCGTACTTTTAGCTGGTGTTAATATGGTGCTTTTATTAATTCAGTGTTATATCAGAAAGCAACAGAAGCAAAGGACTAAACTTCATTATACAGTTGTTAGACAGCGGAGCGGTGCAGTACAATATAATCCACTGGGAACAAACAACCAAATGCCCACTACATTGGGATCAGGAAGAGAAAGACATAAACCTAAGCAAGGTCATTTGAATTTAGTTCAACCTCCTTTTAAAGAATTTTCTCCTGTCAGTTCTACAAATATTGTCCAATCTCCTACTGATTCACATAAGAGAGCAATGTTCCTCATGCCAAGTCCTTCTTATAGATCAGGTCCCTCAATTAGTCATCACAGACAAGCAAAGGAAATTCATCCTAGATCTCCTTCTCTTGTGCATCGACCAATTCACAGGTCAGTAGCAGCTACAGGAGGATCTCAGCTGCCTCTTTCTAGGTCAGTTACAATCTAATATCTTTTAAATATAAAGTTTCTTCATTTGTTTTAAATTCTAATTAAAATTTTTCATTGCTGAAAAGTAATTCGATATTTTTTCTGAATAATTAACATGTGTTGTTACAAATAAAAAGAATTCGTATCCTTTTATCAAGGTAAAATATGTAAATTAAAGTTAACATAGATTTTTCTTATTATTTTATCATTATTAACAAACAAAAAGTGAGTAGAGTAATTAAATAACAATTAAATATACAAAATATTTAATTGTTTTGTAAAAGCAATATTNAATAACAATTAAATATACAAAATATTTAATTGTTTTGTACAAAGTAGTGTTATATATCTTATGTAAAGTAGTGTATTTTCAACTATTTAGAAAAGTTTTAAATTATTATTTTGAAATATTTAATTTATTATTGAATATAATAATGAGCATCAATAAATAAAATAGAATAATTAAACAAAAAACTTTTTATTGTAAATTGAATAAAAAATAAATTATAGGTTCAAATTATTAAAACTATACAAAGTTTTTCAGTAAATGGAATTAATTATTATGGCTTGACTCTCATATCATTAATTACCATAATTATCTCAGAAAAATTTGCAGTTAAATGCAATGTGCAAAGTTTATTATAAATTATTTTCATATAATACTTTATACAGTATACGAACAACATGTTTCTTAGAACTTTCAAGTTGTTGATTTTTTTACTAAAATAGTTTAATTGTATTTATTTTTTAATTTATTTTTATTTATGTCACTTTCATAAGTGTAAAATAATTAGTTATGACAATAATTAGGAAGATATTAATATTATAGTAACACTGCATAAATATGACTATATTTTTAAATATGTAAATTACATTAATATTGTATTTATTACAATAATTGTAAAATTAAAGTAATTTATTAAAAATATATTAAAGCTTATTAAAAAATGTGGCTATATATTAATTACATATACAGTTTTTAAGTCTCTTTTAATGATGTACTTTGAAAAACCCTTCCTTTTTAATTTCTGTGCATGGATCCCTTGACATTGAAGAAAAGACTTAAAAAAGTTTTACAAGTATTGAACTGATAGTTTATTCACATTACAAGTAAGTAGATATATAATAACAAGGTTGTAAGCCACTAATACCACAAAAGTCTATGTAGATAATGCCTTAAACCCCTCCTCATTGTGTATAGTAATTGTACTTTGTGCAATCCCCTCCCCTATAAATTGTACATATAATCAATGTATGGCTCCAATTACATTTAGAAAACAATAAGAAATCAATAAATTTTAATTGATTTTTACTTATTTAATCTTCTTCAAGTAGCAATACAATAAAAAAGCTTTGAAGAGTGGTCTATAAATCATATTGCTATATAAAGTGAAGTAAGAATATTATATTTAATATGATTGAAGTGAGGCAAATAATTATAAAAAAAGCTGTTTTAATTATAGAAATTGACAATGAATTATATTAATTTCTATCTCCTTAATCATTCAGAACCGAAAAAATAATTGTAGCTTACTTTAAGAAATAATTATTAACATCTTGTTTTTAGAAACTTTTTTATTTTTCAGACCAAATTTGTTTTAATTAAAAACTGAATAGATAATCATTATTTAATATTTTAAAATATTTATCTTTCTTGCATTGTGAGGCAACATTCAACATTACAAACTTTCAACTTCTTCAAATGCTAGTTATTTTAGTTACTGTGAATTAAATTTAGATGGTAATAAAAAGTTTAACATAAATAGTTTTATAAAGAAGCTTGTAGTTTTAATTATCTAAACATTTTTAGAGCCATACATTTCAACTATAGAAGAACACTTGATTCTGAATAAACTGTGTGTTTCAATAAGTTTGCTTAGAATTATTTAAAAACAAAATTCTAAAAGATTGTCACAAGTGTTCCTCGTAAAATGAAATATGTGATACTAGAGGTGATTACATAATTAAAAATACAGATTTCTTTAGGGAATAAAACTGATTATTAATTTATTTAAATCTTTAATTAAAAAATTTTCTGTTTTAAAAGATTAAAAATGTTTGCAAGTTTTATTTTTAAAATTAAAAAAAATTTGTTTTTTAGATATTTTTAATAAAAATTAAAAATCATTTTCCAAAAATTAATAACATGACTACTTTTCAAATTAGTTTATTATTTGATATTAATACAGCAAATTAGGAGTTTTTTATTTTACTTTTTCTATCTTGCAATTGCTAAGAAAGTTTTGGGCAGTGTAATGGAGAGGAAGAGGAATGGAGTATAATATATCAAGATCAAACTATCCGTAAAAATTCTGAAGATCTAATCTAGACTCAAACCTAGATATTTAAGAGTGGCAGGCTGACACTTCTACACTCTTAGTCATCCTGCAGTCAATGAGATATTTTTAATTCTTATAATATAATAAGAATTAATTAATTAACAGTTAACAACATTTTATAATAGGATATTAGAACAAGTCTTATGTGGCATAGCATCTCATGCTAGATGGCACAAGCTTATTAGTACTTTCATTGTAGATTTTTCTTTGATGTTTTTTTCATTCTGACTTTGATTTCACTTGATTTATTATTATTTTTAATATATAGAATTATACTAGAGAGTTAAAACAGTCACAATGTTTTAACTATTCCAATTTCCCTTCTCATGCTTGGCTTAGAAATAAATCTATATACTTACTATCCTTATAAATTCAGAAGCATCCATTCTCTATATGTCTAAATTTAGAAAATACAGTATTTATTTAATGTGTTTTAAATAAATGAAATAATCTTTACTGCATTAATAATTTGACATCTTGCAATTACTTATAAATAAAAAAAGAGAGATAGAGAGAAACTGAAAGAGAAGGAAAAAGTATCTGTTAATATTATGAAATAGTATATGGCATTAGTAAAATGAAGTTCATTTGTACACCATCTGGTAATATTCAGAGAATAAAAAATTTTTCCTTTGCTTTCTGCACATATAATATTACCCTGTAAATAAATATAGAGTAAACACTGTAGTATTATCTAATTTTTATAATTGTATGTGAATAATATATAATTTTCGTATTTTTTACTATAATAATCTTTCTTATCTCTTGATAATATCTCATAAAATATAGATTGTAGTTAAATATATTAATTTTACTCTAGTTAAAGAATAATAATAAATTTATTTTTTATTTATTCATATATTCTTAATAATTTGAATCTTTAATATAAGGAGGAGCTTCAAACTATAAAACATAATTATGCTAACTAATTATTAGTTAACATAATTATATACTATAATTTTTTTATTTCCATATTTTAATTTGCAAATTACAATAATTTCCTTTTTTTATGGACTTCCTGTAACACGTTTATTCATTTTTTATAATAAAATTAAAAATTTATGAATAATAATCATTAAATTATTCATAATGTATAGTTTTAAATTTATTTAAGATATTTAGTTTAAATTTTTATAGTAATATATTGTGATTACAAATTATTTTCTTTTCCTTCAACTACATCAGAATTACTTGCATTTTGATATTAATTTTATTTAAATAAACATTTGCTTCTTTTTATGTCTAATTAACAAGTAGCAGAATTTTGAATGCAGGGCTGGATGATGGTATGAGGTGCCTCAAGCATTTTTGAGAGGTGGAATTTTTCCCAATAAATCCTTCTTAAAAATACTTTGAAAATACATAATAGTATAAATTTTTATTCCCATTATTAGATTCATGTACAAATGGGACAGAATTCTCACAGCTTGCTGCACTTTGTTGTTTTTCATCATCCAGCACTGTATGAATGCATGTAAACATTCTATTTACTTTTATTAATTAGTTCAAAATTGTAGATACATCCAATTTCTATAGTAAGTAGTATGAATTGACATTTTTAATTCATTAGCTCACTAGTAAAAATATAATCTATATACAGTGAAAACTGCTTAGGCGACCACCTGCATTCAACGGGCACCTGTCAAAACGAACAAAAATTTCTGGCACGGAATAGTTTATCCATAGAGTCTTCGTATNAAAATTCTCCTCAAGAGTCTCATTTACCACCTGTGCCACCACCAAGCTATGATGATCTGATCTGTATTGGACATTTGCCACAGGACGGTACTAGTGTTCATCTCATCTAACCATTTTTAAAATATAGTTATTTCTTTTTCCATAATAAATTACAGGAATTTTTGCTTTTAACATATTACTAAACTGTTTAAAATTTAGAATGTATGGACAATATATATTTAAATGCATTTAAAATGATTTTAAAAATATGTTATAAATATAAATAATTTATAAATGGGATTATTTCCCTTACATATCATTAACATGTAAGATTTATTATTAATTATATTAATGTGCAAATATACTTATATATACACACAAGCATCTAAGAAAAATTGTATCATATTATATTACACTTTATATACATTTTCTTTATTGAATTTCTTATTAAAATTATAATATATCTCTCAACTTAAGATCTTAAAACAGATCTGTGATTTTTCAGAAATTTCTTTTTTATTAGAGTGCCTTAAATTGATAAACTTTAATAATAAAAAAATATTAATTACAGGACTGTAAAACAAAAACTCTTTTTACCTCTACAGTACTGAATCAATGGGACCTCTCATGCTTATAAGCAAACACATCAAATATCAATTACACATTTAACTTAGCTTTAAATGTGTCACAGGGACTAGAGAGCTAGAAATTCTTAGTTATCGCTCTTGTTATTTATGAAACTGTCATAAGTATAAGTATAATACATTTAAATTGAAACTCCAATAATTCTTTTTTAAAACTGTAGTATTTTGTAGGATATATATTGTTATTTTGTACAGCCCAAAATATGGTGTGAATATTAGATTGTGATACTGATGAATATAGTATTGTGATTATTATATCAAGATTTGACAACTGCTGAATTAGTAAAAAAATTTTTGTAAGTGTGACAAATAAAGCTTTACTAAATATCTTTATATTTAAGAAGCATTCATGAATTAAAACTGATTTATAGTTTATGTGAGAAATCATGTTTAGCATTTAAGAGTCAGAATAATTATAAATTCCTGACATTATTTATTGTTGAAAGGATTTGAGGGTACGATATTAAGGAATTAATTTTGTTAACTGGATTGGCCTTATGTCTGTTTAAAAGAAAGTGAATTAGAGTTGATAGAAATTTATTAAAATTGACTAGATGGATTGATTCTGTAATTGTTATGTTTGAATTTATTATTTGTATCTTTTTATATTATTACAATAATATAAATTACATACTATATATTCATTTGTTCATGAGGTAATGTTATAATAAATAGAAGAAACAATATTAAAATATATTTATATGAAAAATTAATAAATATACAGTACATAGATTCTATGACAGAAAATTTTTTCACCAAATTAATTTGCATTAGTAATAAGAAGCTTTGGGTATTATTATTTAGGATTCATTATATTATTAAGTATCTGAATCTTCTGATTTGTTATTAATTAAGACTAATACATGTAAATGGAAAATTTAAGATAACAGTGACCAATGACGACAGATTTAACCAATTAATCAATCAATTGTGGAGGTATATTGAGGTCAAAATAGACAATTGGTGGAATTTGTCATGGATTTTGATCGTTGTCTTAATTTCACTATTCATGTACTGTACATTAGTCATTGGACATCTTTTCATGTTTGTGATTTAATCAACATTCTTGTACTAATTTTTTTGGAATTGAAAAACAGGTGCCATTACTCATAGTTACAATCATAGTAATTATTATAAAACACCTACCGCTAAGAATGATGAGAATTGCTGAGAATCAAACAAACTGTTTTCAATTTGATCAATTTTCTGGAACATTTNTATCTTTGGACCTTTTATAATTATTGAATGCAACTTATAATTAACAAAGTTCAAATCAGCGTTTCAAATGATCATCTGAGAATGATTATAATTTTAATTCCAAATTTTCGTAAATAAAAATACATATAATACTATATTTTATTGTTCTGATTTTTCTTTTATTAAAGAAAACATATGTTTTTGTGTTTTATTTTATCAATGATTATTATTCTCTCAGTCATTTGGTAATTATAATACAAAAATGTGAAGTAATGTTAAACTAATTTAATATTAAAACTTTTGTTTTAAATTAATTATCATTAATATTATTTAAATTGATACATTTTTTTCTTTATATATTCTTTATTCTGACAAAATCTTGTTTTTAGATATGAAAATTCTCCTCAAGAGTCTCATTTACCACCTGTGCCACCACCAAGCTATGATGATCTGATCTGTATTGGACATTTGCCACAGGACGGTACTAGTGTTCATCTCATCTAACCATTTTTAAAATATAGTTATTTCTTTTTCCATAATAAATTACAGGAATTTTTGCTTTTAACATATTACTAAACTGTTTAAAATTTAGAATGTATGGACAATATATATTTAAATGCATTTAAAATGATTTTAAAAATATGTTATAAATATAAATAATTTATAAATGGGATTATTTCCCTTACATATCATTAACATGTAAGATTTATTATTAATTATATTAATGTGCAAATATACTTATATATACACACAAGCATCTAAGAAAAATTGTATCATATTATATTACACTTTATATACATTTTCTTTATTGAATTTCTTATTAAAATTATAATATATCTCTCAACTTAAGATCTTAAAACAGATCTGTGATTTTTCAGAAATTTCTTTTTTATTAGAGTGCCTTAAATTGATAAACTTTAATAATAAAAAAATATTAATTACAGGACTGTAAAACAAAAACTCTTTTTACCTCTACAGTACTGAATCAATGGGACCTCTCATGCTTATAAGCAAACACATCAAATATCAATTACACATTTAACTTAGCTTTAAATGTGTCACAGGGACTAGAGAGCTAGAAATTCTTAGTTATCGCTCTCGTTATTTATGAAACTGTCATAAGTATAAGTATAATACATTTAAATTGAAACTCCAATAATTCTTTTTTAAAACTGTAGTATTTTGTAGGATATATATTGTTATTTTGTACAGCCCAAAATATGGTGTGAATATTAGATTGTGATACTGATGAATATAGTATTGTGATTATTATATCAAGATTTGACAACTGCTGAATTAGTAAAAAAATTTTTGTAAGTGTGACAAATAAAGCTTTACTAAATATCTTTATATTTAAGAAGCATTCATGAATTAAAACTGATTTATAGTTTATGTGAGAAATCATGTTTAGCATTTAAGAGTCAGAATAATTATAAATTCCTGACATTATTTATTGTTGAAAGGATTTGAGGGTACGATATTAAGGAATTAATTTTGTTAACTGGATTGGCCTTATGTCTGTTTAAAAGAAAGTGAATTAGAGTTGATAGAAATTTATTAAAATTGACTAGATGGATTGATTCTGTAATTGTTATGTTTGAATTTATTATTTGTATCTTTTTATATTATTACAATAATATAAATTACATACTATATATTCATTTGTTCATGAGGTAATGTTATAATAAATAGAAGAAACAATATTAAAATATATTTATATGAAAAATTAATAAATATACAGTACATAGATTCTATGACAGAAAATTTTTTCACCAAATTAATTTGCATTAGTAATAAGAAGCTTTGGGTATTATTATTTAGGATTCATTATATTATTAAGTATCTGAATCTTCTGATTTGTTATTAATTAAGACTAATACATGTAAATGGAAAATTTAAGATAACAGTGACCAATGACGACAGATTTAACCAATTAATCAATCAATTGTGGAGGTATATTGAGGTCAAAATAGACAATTGGTGGAATTTGTCATGGATTTTGATCGTTGTCTTAATTTCACTATTCATGTACTGTACATTAGTCATTGGACATCTTTTCATGTTTGTGATTTAATCAACATTCTTGTACTAATTTTTTTGGAATTGAAAAACAGGTGCCATTACTCATAGTTACAATCATAGTAATTATTATAATAATTAAATCTATTGTATTAGAAATAATACTTAGATTTTTATATCTGTTTTTTGTATAATGATTTTAAGCTATTTTAAGATTTCCATCAATGCATTTTTGTGTATTTATAAATTAGAAAAAATTTATCAAGTTAGTATTACTTTTGTTTTTTTCATATCAGCTTTGTTTTATGCTATTTGATTTTATTGTAAATGAATCACTGACCATTATTTACATAATAAATGACAGACTTAATTAGTTTTTATTATTTATTTTTTTATATCTATATTCTGGATTATATTTCATTTTTAAATTGAAGTATTATGTTATTAATTTGAATTTTATAACATAATTTATATGAAGATATTTAAAAATCATTTAATTTTATTTCTAATTAACATTTAGCAAATTGTAATTATAAGCAGATACGATATTTAAAATATGTTTAAATAACATATTAAAAAGTATTTCAAGTTTTGTTTCATTTTAACATATTTAAAATATTCTGCGAGATATTTTAAAGTTTTATTTTCGACTTATTTGCTATAGAATGTATATAAACTTATATACAATTGATGCAGGTAATTCATTTTTTGTAGTATAGAAATGAATTTACAAATATGAATAATAGTCAAACATATATCTGATATAATAAACATGTTAAAAAACTGAGCATATTGTGTGTCTCTATTGAAAGAAAAAAAATAATTGATGCTAAGATACATAAAGATGTCCAAGTTTATTTAAGGTTAAATGTTTCTTTGGGACCAAATGTTTAATCTTGAATAAACCTGGACTCCTTTATATATTCTAGCATCAGTTTTTCTTTATACTAATTAAAAATTGTGAAATATACTATTGTATTCTTCATAATTTCAGAAAATCATTTTGTATTTGATATTTTCATAATACTTAATACATAAGTATGTTTATTATTTTTTTATGAAAGTGTTGTAAAAATAAACATTAAATATATCATTATGGTTGAAGAATGAATTAAGAGGAAAAACAGATATGTTCTGTATGAATATTTATGCCTAAACAAAATATTACATTTGATATATTTGAATATGTTTCAAAAAAGTATAGTGTGAAAATATATCAAGTTGTATATTTTAATAAGTGGACCATTGCCATACTACAATCAATGCAAAAGAAGCTCAAACAACAATCATAATTAGAATTTCTAATCTTATATAACTTTTATCCAAGATAATGGCAATAATTTTAGGCTAACAAGTAAGATATATAATTTTTTAATACTTTGATTTTTTTTTTAATTTTTAAAATTTTATTTACATATTGATATATCTTTAATAATCACATTATTTGTTATGTATATTGAAAGTTTTGTTTTTGAATTCTGTTCCATCATTAAAATATTGACAGAATTTTAAATAATATCTTCTTTCAAATATATGGGGCTGTTCATAAAATACATCTGCATTTTATTTTGAAATTTTTACTCCTCCTCCCCCATTGTTCCAGTTTGTCCAAGTTTCCATAACTCCCTCCCCTCTTGGAATGTCTCAACCCTCTCAAAACCTTTATTACTTTATGAATAATGAAATATATAAACTATAAAATTTAATGAAATAAAATGGAGTCCATTGAAGTTCAACTCCTCCCCTCCCCTTGTCCAAGTTGTCATAACCTCCCTCCCACCCTTCCAGTATGGACATCATTTATGGACATCTCTATGTTAAATTCTCTAAAATTCAGGACTGAAATAAAACTATACAAAATATTATTTTTTAACTTTAAAATTGTTTCTTAGAAACTTCTCTATATCATTAGACTGTCATAAATTATATCATTAAATTATTAAAGTAAATGCTTTTAACAATTTTCACTTAGAGCTTCTCCCTCTTTGGGATATTTTTTCTTCTATTCCTTAAAATTAGGGCTGAATTAAGAATTTAAAATTAAATTCCAATAACAATTTTACAAAGAAAAAACAATTATAATAATTTAAAATGGATAAAAATTCTATGTAACATTTTGAAATAAAAATTTAATGATTTCTAAACTTTTAATTTATTTTATGTCATATTTTACAATGTTTTCAATAAATTATAAAGACATTTTCAGAACTGTTGAATTATTTTTAACATTGTAAAGAACATTACATGGAATTTCAATCTGAAAATTTACTGGAAAAGAATTAAACTGAATAAAGTTTAAGTAAATGATTGATTATTATTTAAAACTGAAATATTTTAATTTTTTGTATAGAATTTTTATAATTTATAATAAATGAATTTTAGTAATATATTTAAATACAATAAATTTGATAAATCATGTACAATAATTATATTAAACTTTAAAATTTATTTGAATTTGATACTATGATTTTTCGTCAATATTATACATTATACATTAAGATAATATATACAATTCAAATAAAATCAAAATTGCGTTTTTGGGATACCAATAAGGTTTATTTTATAAGAATTTTTTTCAGTTAGAAATTTGATTATCTCCAGTTTATCAGCATTAAAATCAAATGGTAAATTTTAACTTTCTTGTTCTTCTGAAGTATTTCTAAGATATATTTAGGCACTAATTCAACCGAACTATTTTATCCTTGCTTCATCAGAAGATTGCATTTGGATTGTTAAACTTTTGTGATAAATATTTGTATCTTTATTGTAGAAATGCATTTCAAGTTTATCTTTTTCATCAAACTCCTTTTCAGTCTTTTAAAAGAGAAATTTAGAATTTGTGTACACTAATTATTATATTTACTTCTAAAAATTTACTTAAAACCATATTGAGAGAATTCTCCTTAACAACCTAAGTGCAAACTTTCAGCAAAGAAAGGCTAAAATAGTCCGATTATATTAGAGAATTCATTGTCTTTGATTTAAGAACGGTTGAAATTGAACTCAAATTTGAAAGTATTTATTATAAGATAAAACTCTATTGGCATCCTTAAATAAGCAATTTTAATTTAATGATAAAGTTGATGACAAGCTTTGAAACTTTTCATAATTCAAATAATTTATTCATTTGTAACTTGCTAACAAAAAGTCCAATAATAAAATAAATTAACTTTTGCTTTAATAAACTTTGTAATCTTCATTTATAATATATAGTTTAGTTGCAGCATGTACTATAATAGAAATAATAGTTTTAGAGAGTGCAAAAATTAAGTATAAATGTCTAGATGAGTGTGGTCTTTCCAAAATTTTAATAATGATGAATTGTTTGGGAGGTAAAAGATTAATAATTAAAATGTAATACTTGAAGAGATTGTTTTGATACATTATTATGAATGATTTTTAGAAAATTGCTTATATTTATAAAAAAGTTTTATTTTATTCCTTTTATTTACTTCTTAATACTAAAACATATAAGATGAATTGTATTGAAATACAGCTTACTTCATATATTTTAACATAAAAATTTTTAATCTCTGTACTAATGAATAAAAGTTCCTAGGTTGATGAAAAATGATATAAAAAAACAATTTAATTATTACGTTAACAATGTTCTGTAAAATTTCAAGTTGAATGATGATACATAGAAAGATTTAAATAGGATAATTCAATTAAAGATTTGGCAGTAAATTATAACAAACTAATGTTTTTAATTATTTTATTCAGCCACAATTAGAATTTAAAATTGAGAATGACTAAATTAAGATGGTTGAAAGCATTACTTCATTATATTTTTATGCTGTATTAAAGGTTATTGTCAAACCACAAATCACCATAAATGCTTTTCCAGCAAAGTAATTTATTAATATGTATTATCATCTTTATTCTTATTGCTTTTAATTAAATAGTGATAAATTATGCTTTTATAAACTTTTTATTCATTAGAGTTTTGAAAATTTGAAATAAATATTTTTTAAACTTTTTTTTTTGTTAACTTACCACTGATAAAATTTTTATTAATACACACATATTACAAAATTAACAGTTTTCATTCAAAACTTAATTAATTTAAATTATAATATTTGCATCAAATTTTCCTTACTGTTTACTGTTTTATATAATTTAAATGTCAAGACTTAATTATATAAATTATATTGGAAACATTTAATTCAAAAAGTTTGATAAAATTACTAAATTTAAAATTGGTTAATTTCTTTAAAAATGTCTGGTAAAATCACAAATATCTAATTTAAAAATTTAAGGGAAATTTTAATTGAATTATCATCATTAGAGTAATATATGTGCCAATAAAAATTTCAGTAATTGGATTGCAATTTAAATATTATTTTACAAACACAAACAAATTATATGAAACAATTTTTTTTTGTACTGTATTACATTTTTCTATCACATGTATTTATGTGATTCATAGTAAAATTTATTAAATAACATATTTATGAGATGAAATTTTCAGGACCATTTTATGCACTTATAAGGCCTCTGTCACAATTTTTATTTAAAAGCATTACATAGTTATAGATATAGAATGAAAAATTAGCAACGATAAGTGAGATTAGGCCATTAAGATCTGTGGACAAGACCAGATATGCCACGTGCCATATATATATATATATATATTCAATCTTGGAAATCTCATAAGTATGTTTTAAATACTTTTATTATTTAAAGTAATGTTCTGATTATTTCAAAATGTTCTAATATTATGTTCTATATAGTATATGAGTAATTACATACTTATGTTTTTATTAAATATAACTTCAACTGTTTTTCTCAGAGCAAAAATTTTTTAGAAAACTCAAGTACTTTCAGGCTATACATTTAACACCAAGGGTCATCTTGTTGACTTCTGAAGATGAGTTTATAGTCTGAAAGTACTTGAGTTTCCTAAAAAGTTTTCACTCTGAGAAAAGCAGTTGGAATTGGATTTATGTTCGATGAGTTTCTTTAACAAATATTTATCACACTTTTGTTTCTATATTTTCTCTTTTTATGTATTTGCCAATTTTAATTGATTAACTGTATTAATGTTTTTTATCATCATTTTAGGATTAAGTATATTTTTTTATTAATATTTAATTACTATAATTATTAATGAAAGTTGAATTTTAGATATTTTAAAATTATCTTGTAATTTCTGTAGTACTTTTAATACATTCAAATGTATATTAGAGATAAAATTTTAAAGATTTAGCACTT